CCCCGGCGCCCGCCCCCGCCCCTGCCCACCCGACCGTGGCCAACATGGTGGCGACGACCCACGTCGGGGCCAAGCGGCAGCGGGCGGGCCTCACACCTCCTCCTGCCGCCTCCCCGGCTCCCGCCCCGGCCACCGTCACCGCCCCGGCGCCCGCCCTCGCCGCCTCCCCGGCTCCCGCCCCGGCCACCAAGAAGAGCCGGCCGAAGGCGGCCTCTCATAGGCGCGAGGGGCAGCCTGCAAGGTCGCCGGCTCGTTCGCGGCCCCGCCCGCCGCCGTCGCCGAACCTCCTCCCGCCGCGCACGAGGTGTTCGAGGAAATGGCAACCCCATCCTCGTTCATGGACCTCCTCCAAAACGCGGAGGTGGACCTCGGAGCTCCACCTCTAGACCCCTTTAGGGTTGGTGACGACTTGGAGGAAAAGGAGGAAGATGAGGAGGATGAAGGGGATGACGAGGAGGAGGTGACCGAGATAGGGAGGAGGCATTCACCGCCGCTTCCCGTCCACACGCGCGGTCGACAAACTACACCGAGGCGGAAGATATCCTCTTGGTTCGTGCTTGGGCAGGTGTGGGAATGGACGCAACCACCGGCACTGATCAAACCGGTAAACGGTATTGGCAAAGGATCGAGGACACCTATTGTAGGATCAAGCCGAAGAATAGTGGGTTCATCTCTCGCACTTACCAGTCGCTTCAAGGCCGGTGGGAGTTGATCAAGCCCGCTTGTGCTCGTTGGAGTGTGGCCATGGACCAAGTGAGGGATGCACCACCTAGTGGAACCGTGGAGAGTGACTATGTGAGTACATATTTCTTCACTATTTTGATTATGTGTGTGCACTATGCTATTGGTGGGTTCTTATGTGATTTATGTGTGGTTGATAGGAGACAATTGCCGGCATGAGGTACAAGGAGATGGCCGCTTCCAAGGGCAAGCCATTCCCATTTAAGCATGCTTGGACAATTCTTCAAATCTTTGACAAGTGGAAGTTGAGGGATCAAGAGACCGCACACAAGAAGTCGGCAATGCTTAGGATGGATGATAGTGAAGATGAGGAGGAGAGGAACTTGGGCAAGCCCGAGGGAACCAAGAAGGGCAAGCTAAGGGTGAAGATGGAAGAAGAGGCGTCAAGCCTAAGGGAGAAGATGGACCACATGATGAAGGCAAGAGAGGAATTGACAACGAAGACATTGGAGACGAAGCTTCTTATCACCGAGAAGAAGAAAGAGGTCAAGCTTGCACAAGTTGAAGCAAAGCGTGAAGAAGCAAAGCGCAAGGCCGAGTTGGAGGAGAGGATGATCAAGCTCAAGAGGCAAAGGTATGGAAAGAACTCATAGTGGAAGAGAAAGAGCACATGATGATGTCCAAGAAGGACATGGATCAAGACCAATTGCAATGGTGGAAGAACTACAAGGACGACATCGCGGAGAGGAAGAGGATGTTCCGTGTTGCGTCCTCTACTTTTCGAGGTGACACTCCGATGAGTAGTTGTGGTGATGGCGGTGTGTACGACTCCACTGGTGCCCATGGAGATGCTTGATGGAGCCCGCATGTGGTCTAGGAGATGGCGCCGAGGTGCAACTTTTTTGTGATGGTGCCGATGAGAGGAGGAAGATGATGATTTTGTGATGTAAACTATTAAACCATGCATCAATGATTGTCATTTGGTAGTTTGTTTGGAAGTTGATTGTGTTCTTGTTGTCATAAATTATGAGATGTCAAATGATAGATTTAAAGATTGGGGTCGAGGCAAAGACTAGAACCCTCAAATCCAATCCTTAAAGCAGTTTAAGGGTTTGGTTTGAGGGTTCTAGTATTTGCCCCTGTTTTTCAACCCTTAAAAGTGTTAAAAAGTGGCACTTCTCAACTCTTAAAACTGCTTTAAGGATTTGAGGGTTCTACGTAATGCTCTTAGAGCAAGTCTAGTAGAGCCCTCAAACCCCTAAAAATAACTGCTATTTTACAGTTTTCGTCGAAAAAAAGCCGTAGACTAGAACCCCTTAACCCTTAAACCCTCAATTTTTTTTAAAGGTCCAACCCTCGAACCTTCTCCCAATCCTTAAAAGTAAAGGTTGGGGAGCAAAACCTACCCCAACCCTCATTTGGCGGTTATCCTCGCGCGGGAGGAAAAAATCCTCCCAACTCCCGCGCCCACGCCCGCGGCCGCCGCTGCTAGTCGCCCCCATCGCCGGAGGCCGCCCCGTCCACCTCCCGCGCGCAACGACATCGTTGTTCATGGGAAATATTCCGTTATAAGGGTTGGGTTTAAGGATTTTAATCTTTGTCCCTGTTTTTTAACTCGTAAAAGTGCATAAAAAATCATTTTTGGACCCTTAAAACGCTAGTGAGGGTTTGAGAGTTTGAGGGTTCTACTAGTAATGCTTTTAGCAAAGCGCGCATATCCTCTGTGTCAGCGTGATTATATGTCTCCGTTCGTGCAAGATCGTCACCACTCACCAGTCATCACACAAACTCGTCCCAGGAAAATTTGTGGCGTGAGAAGCTGGGCCGAGCAGAGCATGGACGGACGCAGAGCAGCACCGCCGCCGGCGTCGCGGATTAGTGGCTGGCACGCCGACGACGAATCCGAGCTGGACGAAGAGGAGCTCGGCGTCTTCACCGCTGAGCGCTACTTCAACGGCGCCCTCGCCGCCGAGGACGCTTTGTGGTGCGACCGCTCGTCGTCGTCGTTCTCGTCCGCGTTCAAGACATGGCAGCACGACGGGTCTGCCCCGACGCCGACGGCTGCCACCAGCTCGTCGGAGGCCAGCTGGAACAGCCGCTCTGCGCTTCTGCCTAACCGTCCGGCGATGGCAGTCCCCTCGCCCGTTGAGAGCAAGCCGGATTCCAGGGCAGAGAGTGATCAGACCGGAAGAAAGGCACGCTCGTCGTCGTCTCACCTGCGACGTTGGCTTCTCGGCATGGCAGGGCGCGCCTGCGCCTGGGGCCACGGCGAGGAGTCGGTTGGCACCGAAGACCTGAGTCACCATGAATTGGAGTCCGGCTCTGGTGGCCAGAAACGCAGCCCCGAAGCGGATGCGGCGCTGCCAAGAATGACGAGCAAGCAGATCGCCGTGGAGGACGGCACCACGGCGAGGGTGATATCTGGCAAGAGGGTCGACGACGGCGACGCACCACTTACCCTGCTGCTCGCGGAAGCTACGCACAGTCGAGCTGCAAACTCCGGCGAATTGTCCATGAGGATGCTGGATCCGGCAGCCAACGCGTCGTACAACGACCGGCTCCGGCGGGAATCTTTGGACATGTTTCACCAGGCAGGCCAAGGCTCTGCCATCACAATCGTGGCGGGAAGCACGGCGCGGGGTGGTGCCGCAACTGCAAGTGCGGGCGGCGGCGCCAGAGGAAGCCCCTCCCCACCAAGCAGGAGGCGCGACTCCGGCGATCTCGAGAGCGTGTGCCCGCCGAGCGAGGCGAGCGTGGTCTGGAGCGTGGTCACCGCGGAAGGCGCCGCGTCCGGCAACTTCTCCAGCGCGGCCTCGGCATGCCACTATTACTTCAACGACGGCGACGGAGAGACGACGCGGCACACGGCGGCAGGAGGGAAGTTCAGCCGGAGGAGACGAAGCAACGGCAGCGGCTTGCTGATGGGCTGTATGTCCAAGAGGGCCGTCGACGCCGTCGGCGCCGCCTCGGACGCGCGTCTACCGGCCGGAGGTAGAGCCGGCGGCGGTGGCGAGGTGAGCGGCCCAGACGTGACGGTGACGCGCCGCCGGTAGGTGTGCTCGGTTTTGACGTATGCGACGATTGAGACGTGGACTTGGATGCATGCATGGACCCGTGGATGTGTATTTTTCTGGAAAAAAAGTTAATGGATCATTTTTATTTGCGAAACAGAGGAGTAATTGCGATAGGGATGCGGTGTGGACGATGCTCTTCAAAGCTGCCGTTATCAGGTGTACTGTCCCGCATACATACACGCGGGATGCTACATTTCACAATAATCGTGGAAACAATTTCCAGAACCCTACAATGAACTTGGTCTATATCACGTTCTGCGTACTGGGTAAAACGTCGGTTTCTTCTTCTCAAGTAACGAACAATAGTACAGTCGGACCGGTCAAATCTGGCCTCCTGTATTCGACGAACAGCGTCCGAGTGCGCCCACATAGGAACAAGGTGCCCCATTTATCCGTGTCCGGGAAGCCACACCCCTCTTATTTAAAATTTAAAATTTTATTTATATAAATCCATGCACATAGATCATATAGTACATAATCAATTCACCAGTTCAACAATTCAAACCAACCAAAAAAGGATCATGATCCACCAATTCAAGCAAGCCAAAATAAATTTCAACAAGTCACACATTGACGATACACAAATGAATCAACCCCCCCCCCCTCCCCTCCCCTC